ACGTTGTTTCAATTCCATTCGAACTTGTTTGATTCTTACTCGTTGAGAATTGTATGTAATAACTTCAACATTCCTTTCTTCTCACAATTACTCACAATACATTTCGCACTTGTTATTCTCAACACCGAAACAGTGAGAAATGTGCGAGAATGTCCAACATGAGAGAGAGAGAAAAATACGGAGAGGAGAGCTATTACTCACACTCATGATAAATAGGAATAGAATATCGCAATAAAACACATTTTGTTTATAAAAAAAAACGAACAGATACGCTCTTCTCTTCGCGTCTACATTCATCAAAATGGCATCATCATCACAAATGTGTTCGATCGAGACATGTAAACGATCTGCTCATGCTCTTTGTTATTGTTGTCAAAAATCTGTCTGTATCGAACATCTCAATGAACATTCGCATCGTCTCAATGATCAACTTCTTCCATTGGCCGACGATATCAACGACCTATTCGATCGATTCAACAATGTTTTATTACCTCAATCCGCCTTCTGCATCGAACTCGATAATTGGCGGGAAGAAGCACATCAAACAATCGATCATTATTGTGAACGAAAGAAACAAGAATTCGATAAATTGATCATGAACGAAAGACAAAAACAAAAGATTGATCTCGATCATCTTCGTTATCAAATCGATGAATCCATTAAAAAACAAGAAACAACCACGGAATACGTCGATTCAATGAACAATTCTCTACGTTGTCTTCAACGACAGATCAATGAATTGGAAATTTCTCCTGTTCTTTCACCATTAGATATCGACGAACATATCGTTGACATTTATCAAAATATATTGAAACCAAAAAATATCTTACCCCTTCCACCACCATATCGATCAATCAAAATACAATACAGTTCATTTATTGCAGCTAGTGAAAATCATATCCTATTGGAAAATATCCACAAATTCTATCTATTGGATCAACAATTGGGTATTCAGAATGAATTTCCATGGAATCATGATATTCCATGGCACATGGTTTGGTCAAAAACACTTGGTCTTTTTTTTATTATTACTTCAAAGGAAATCTTTACACTCGACGAAAGAAAAATGATGATCGAACCATGTTCAATTCTTCACAATAGTTCGATGGCTGATTGGAGCAGTGGAACATGTTCAAATGATAGTCTTTATTTAATTGTAGATGCAATGGGTACATCGATTTATGAATACAATCTTCGAAGATCGATAGAATTCGTTAAAGAATATCGAACACCATTTACTTGTTCTTAGGGTGGGTGTGGGTGTGGGTGTGGGTGGGTGTGGGTGTAGACGTGGATGTCATTTCTCTTGAACCACACCCACACTCATACCCATACTCACACCCACCCGCACCCACACCCACACACGCTCACACCCACCCGCACCCACGCCCACATCTACACCCACACCCACACCCACCCACGCACACCCACCCACACCCACGCCCACACCCACACCCACACCCGATGAACTTATATCTGACATAGCATGGAATAACCAAACATTGGCTCTTGTTATTGCTAATCGTTCAAATCAATGGCGTGTCGATTTGTGTTCATCAACAACACTCGGACGATATTGGTCGATTCAACTCGGTGTTTTAATTAATGAAAAAGTTTTTCGATGTTGTTTATTGAATAATGGTCAATTACTTATGCTCAATGGAGATACTTCGGAGTTGATCCATATTTCTGCAGATGGAAAAATCATCAAAAAAGACAATTATCATGTACCACCTCTTCATGCCGTTCAATTGACTGACGAAGTCATCGTTATTGTAAACGAAACAAGTGTCGATTTGTATCGATTATCTTAAAAGATTTTTTTTTTTCATTATCATTAATCATGATTATTTTTCCGATCGATTTTTATTTTATATTTGTTAGTAGTTTCTTTTCAATCTAATAAATTGATCGAAGTTGTGGATATTGAACGTTTATGAATTTATTTTCTTATAACAAATGTTAAACGTTACTTGTTCTTTCTCTCTTTTTTTTCAATTTATTTCTTTGTTGTTGGTAGCTGGACACAGTATAATACACTATATAAGGTAATATGATAAAGTTTATTTCGTATTCGCTTATAAGACTCTCCATCCGACAATAAAAATAGGATAATGTGGACACTAACACTCACAATTTAAATTGAACCCAAACAAGCTTTACCATCATATCATTATTAATTATTCATCTTATCATTTCATTACATTTTCTACTTCTGTAACTCAATTATAAACATTTTCGAATTGAATAATAAATATTGATTTTCGAAATCAAATAAATTTTTTTTTTGTTCAGATTTTTTTGTTTATTGGTATTTAGTCAAATCAATATCTGATTATTATAAAAAATCTGGTCGAGCTGAACATCATGAAAAACGATCCTATTATTGAATGTATTATTCTTCATGCCAACGAAATACACAATTATTTCTTATTGATCAAGAAATGAATGATGAAGTAAAAAAAAACAAGCAAAAATAGGCAATAGAAATCAATCTTCTTTTTTCTTTTGTTTATTATTCTTAGAAAATTGTTCATGAACAAAAAAACATCGATGCTTAGTGATTGTTTTGATTCTCGTGAAGAATCAAAATATTATTTTGGTAATATGTTAATAAAACCAT